GGGGCGGGGGCAGGCGCAGGAGCCAGACGAAAATGAACCAGGCCAAAAGAGGAGGGACGGCTGCGAGCAAGGAAACCCCGGAGGGCCGAAGACGAGACCGACCGGACACGGGAGGCGAGTGAGAGCCCGAAGGCCCACGGGAGGAGAGCGCGGGGGCGGAGGCCAGAGAACCGAATCGGAAGAGAGGAAGCGGGGCGGGGGGGAGGGGTCGGGTAACACGTGGCCGAAAGGGGGCGCATCGGGCCGAGCGGGGCACCGAAAAAAGGGGGGACCCGCGCAATCAGAGATGCGACAACCGGACGCCGGAGGGGAACCGACGGGGACCACGCACCGGAGCCGAAGAAAGAGCGGACAAGAGAAGGAAGAAACGGAGACCAATCGAGGGCAGCGGCAACCACCCTAGAGAAGCGGCGGGCAGCAAGCAAGACAGCGAGCCGAGGGCGGAGGGCGGGCAATGGCGGGGGCAGCAAGCTAACGGGCCGAGCGGAAAGAGAATAGGGCGGGCGGGACCCGAGGCAAGTGAGGCGCCGCGGCGAGACAGAGGCAAAGAGCGGGGGGAAAGCGCGACGCGACGAGGGGGGGCGGAAAGAGCATAAGGAGGGCGGTGGGGCGGGGAGGCAGCCGGGCCGGCAGCAGGGGAGGAGGGAGAAGCGGGCGCATGGGGAAGCCGCCGGCACAACTGCGAAGAAGAATGGGCGGGGCGCGAGAGCGAAGGCGACGGGGAGGGAGGGACGAAGGCACGGGGGTGCGGGCGCCAGGAGGAGGCGGGGAAGCGCAGACCCAGGCCAGAAGGCAAAAAGGCGGCCAGGAGAGCGAGGGCGGGCAGAGCAAGCAAGGGGGGCGGGGGACAGGGCACAGGCGGCGGAGCGAGCAGAAAATGACCGATAAACGAGAAGACAGAGAGGAGGAAAGCAGGAGAGAAAGGCGGGCAAAGCGCGGGGAGGGCAGGCAGGGAGAGACAGCGGGGCGAGCGAGCCGCGCAAAAAAGGGCAGGCAAGCGCAGGAGGGGCAGGGAAGAACAACAGCGCCCAGGCGACGGAGAAGGCAACACCGGAAGGAAGATAGGGGGGAGGGAGGGCGCGCGGCAAGCGAGGAGGAGCCTGAGAGCGGACGCGGCGGCCACGAGAAAAGAGAGGGGACGCAGACGGCGCGGGGGACGACCGGAGTGAGAACCGGACGGAGACGGAGGAGTAAGAGCAGGGCGCACGGCCGAGAAGCAGAGAGGCGAGAGGCGGGGCCGGCGGCCCCAGCGGGCAGGGGAACGGGAGGCACGCGGGAGGGGCGGCAGGCAAGGGAAGGGTGCGTAGCCCACGATCGCGCGAACGAGTAAGATAAGGAAAGAAAGAGGGCAGGGCACGTGCGGCCCGGATGGCGGCGCCAAGGCAGCCCGAGGCGCGGGGCGGCGAGGGGGCGAGCGGCGCCGAGGGGAGGGGGGCCGGCAAAGGGCCAGGGGCGGCGGGCAAAAGGCAAGCCAGCCGCCCGGCAGGCGGGGGGAAAAGGTGGAGACGGGGCCCAAGGGGGGGCGAGGTGCGAGGAAGAGAGACGGAGACAGACAAGGGCCGGGCGGAGAGACCCGCGCGGGACGGGCAGCAGACCCACGAGGAAGGGCAGGGAGGCGCCGGCAGACAGAGACAGAGAGCGAGGGAGGGGCACGACGCAGCAGAGAAAGCAGGCAGCAGAAGAAAGGGAAAAACAAGGACGGGACGAAGGAAAGAGAGGAGGGGGGGGAGGCAGCGAGGGCCAGACCACAGCGCGAGACGGGCCCCGAGGAAAACGAGGGGTGCAGGCAGACCACCCGGGGGGGGGGGCGCAAGGCATCAGGAAAGACCCGGGCCAAACAAAAGGGGGGAGTCGACCGCGGCCCGGGGAGGGGGCTGGGGTGCCGGGGCCTGGGGCAGGCGGCGACCAGCGGAGAGCCGGGCATGGACGAACGGGGGGGCGCGAGGGGGACCAAGCGCGACGGCCGGGTGGAGCGGGGGCGCGGAAAAGGGCGGCCGGGGAGCCCGGAGGGGAAGGGGAGCGGGGGGGAGGGGAGGAGCAAAGAAAGCCCAGGAGGGACGGCGGAGGCCCGAGGAGAGGGAGGTGAAGCAGCAGAAAAGCAGCAGAAGCGGCCAAAGAAAGGACAGCAGAAGGAGAGGAAGGAAAGGCGCGCAGGCGGTGCAGGAGAGGCACAGGGCAGAGGGCGGAGGGAGGCCCACAATGCCAGCGGCCAGGAGGGGGAGGTCGGCGGGAGAGAACCAGGAAGGAAGGGGGGCGAGAGGAGGGGACAAGCGTCTGCGGGGGCGTCGAGGAGGAGGCGAAAGACGAAAGCGGCGGCCGGGGGGAAAGAAAGAGAAAGCCGGGGCGCGAACGCGCAGCCGGGCTGTGCGGAACAACGAACAGGGGAGGAAAGGCCGGACGCACCCGGAGAGGAGAGGGGAAGGGAGATGGGACGCGAAGCCGGGACCCGGAGCGGGCAGCCGACACCGGGAAAGGAGGCGAGGGGAGAAGGGGGCGGGGGGTCAGCAAGTGCGGGCCCAGGCGAGGCGCGGCCAGGCCAAGCCGAGGGACAAACCGGCGTAGGGGCCCGAGCGCGAGTAAGCCACCCGGCGGCCCCAGGCCCGGAAAGCCCGCCCGGTGGGCCAGCCCCGCGGGCGCAACGCGAGGCGGATAGGGCAGCGGCGGGCAGCGGGGGTGACGAACACCGCGCCGCGAAGAAGACAAAGAAAGGGGGAGGCGATGGCCGGGAAGGAAGCAGGAACAACGGAGGAGGGGATAGAGGGAGCAAGAGACGGAGAGGGAGGGAAGGGCCGAGCAAGCAGGGGGGGACCGGCCCGGGGGCCAGGCACGGAGCGCGCAACGGAGGGGGGAGGGGCGGGAAGGCCAGCGCGAGGGGGGGAGGCGAGAAAAGGGGGGGCGGAAGCGCGCGCGACCGGGGCAGGGGCAAAGGAGGGGGAGCGAGGGGACCCAGACGGGAGAGCGCGAGGGCGGGAGGGGGCGGGCGGAGCAAGAGGGGGGGGGGGGGGAGCGCCGGGCAAAGAGGGAGGGGAGCCGAGAGGCGAGGCGGAGGCCGCGGCGGAGCGAGAGGAGGCCCAGCAGGGAAAGGCGACGGCGAAGGAGACAAGGGCGAGGCACCGAACAGGGGCGACCCGCAACCGCCAGCCGGCAGGAGGAAGCGAAAGGCGCGGGGCCGAGGCACGAGGACACGGCGCGCCGACAACGAGCAGCCCCGGACGAGGAAGGGAAAACGCGAGCGCCGCGAGCGAGCGACGAGAGGGAGAGCCCCGGCGGGAGGGCGAGAGGGGAAGAAGCCGGCGGAAAAAGAGAAGCGCGCGAGCGCGCAACGGCGGAGGAAAAGCCAGCAACGGGGAGGAGGCAGGGGGGCGGGCCCCGGGCCGCGGAGGAGGAAGAGAGGGGGGAACCCGAGACAAGGGCGGCGGGCGGCGCGCCCCGAGCGCGAAAGGGGCGGAGGCACGCCACGGGGGACCACGAAACGACGAGCCGGAGCGGAAGGAGGGACGGGAACCCGCAACCGCAGCCGGGGCAAGGCGAGGCGCGACCAGGAAGCGAGGGCCGCCAAGCGGGGCAACAGCAAGCAGCGAAGCACGACGGAGCAAGGCACGGAGCACGGGAGACGGACGACGGCGGGGGGGCCGCCGGACCACAGGCGGGACCGCGAGCGAGCGGACGCGAACACGAGGAGAGAAGGGGGAGGGGGGAGAGGGCGGCGGGGGCCGGCCGGGGCAAGCAAGCGCCGGCCCGCAGGGCCGCGAGGGTGGCGAGGGGGAAGGAGGCGGGGGGCGCGAGGCAAGGGGGGCGGCAGGGCAGGCGCGGAACGGAAGGAGGGCACCGCAAGACCAGACAAGGGGCGCCGCGCAGGCGGCGGCAGCGGGCGGGGAAGGGCAGGCAGGGCCGAAGACGGCCGCGGCGACGAGAAGCAAGCGGCAGCGGCACGCACGAACGGCGTGACGCGGGCAGCAGAAAACGCCGGGCGGCCGCGAATACGCAGCAATGAAAAACGCCGCGGCGCGAACAAGCGGAGGCGAAAGAAGAGAGGGAAGGGCGCAAGGAGCGGGGGCGGGGAGGCGAAGCCCGGGACCGGGGGGGGGGGGGGGCGAAGGCAAAGCCAGGGGAGGGAGGCAAGGGCCGGGCGGCCGCACCACGCCGCGAGGCCAAGGACGGGGGCGAACCGGCAGGCCAGGGTGGTCAGGCCGAGACAGGGCCAGGAGGGGACCGAGCCAAACCCGCCACCGCAGGGGCCAAAGGCAAACGGGGGGGCGGCCGGCGCCGCGCCGCGGGGCGACAGAGGCGAGGCGGGGGACCAGAGAAGAGGGGACAACTGCGGGCGCGGGGCCGGGCGCAAGCGGCCCGGGCGGAGGGAAAGGAGCAAGCCACGCGACGACGGGGACAGATGGCCAGAGAGGAAGGGGCGCAGCCAGCCGCGAGCGAGCCAGGGGGAGGCGGCAGGCAAGGCAGCGGAAAAAGGGAGCCCCGGGCCGGGAGGAAGGGAGAGGGGGGGAAAAACGCCAAAACGAGGGGGCCAAAAAAGCGGACCGGAGAGGAGAGAAAAGGGGGAGAAAGGGGCACCCCGACGAGACCCCGAAACGACAAGCGAGCGCGCAACGGCGGAAAAGCCGGGGGGGCGGCGGCGGGCAGGCGCGGAAAAGCGCGCGGCCGCGCCGCCCGGCGAAAGGCGGCAGTTCAGGAGAGGAGCGGCGGCCGGCGCGCAAGCGCGGGGGGCGCCCGGGGGGGGGGGCAGGGGGGAGCGGCCGCGGCAGGCGGCGGGGGGGCGGAGAGAGGGACCCGACGGGGAGGGCCGAGGGAAAGGGCAGCGCCGAGGCACGGCAAACAGAAAACAAAGAGAGGCGAAAAAGCGGAGGCGGGACGGGGAGAAAGGGGCGGCCAGCGGGGAGGGCAGCGAGCACGGCGGGAAGCCCCGGCGGGGGGGCGGCGGCGGACGCCCCGGCGGCCGAGCGCACACGCCCAAAGCAGAGGGGGAGGGCAGAGGGCAGGGGCCGGGCCGGCAGGGGGCGGGCGAGCCAGAGGGCGGCGGCGGGCAGAGAGAGCGGGGCCGGGGGGAGAGGGGGGCGCCGGGAGGGAGGCCCGGCCGGGGGGGGGGCCGGGAGCGGGCGGGGCCAGCCAGGGCCCGCACGGCGGCAGAAAAGCGGCGGCGGCGAGCGCGCGGCGCAACGCAAGAAAGAAGGCGAACAGGGGCGCGCGACAGCGGGCGGGGAAGGCAGGGAGCGCAGAGCGAGAAGCAGGGGGGGCGGCGGGCACGAGGAAGCCGACGCCCGGCCAGGCCGGGCAAGCGGGAGCCGGCCCGGAGACGCGGGACCGGGGGCGACGGAACCCGGGCGCGGGGGGGCGCCGCGCGCGAGGCGGGCGGAACCGGGGGCGAGAACCGGCGCGCAGAGAGGCCCAAGGCAGCGCCAGCAAGCCGCGGGGAGCCGGGGGGGCAAAGGGCGAGGGCCGGGCGGGGCGGGCCCAAAAACGGGCGGGAGGCGCAGGGGAGAAAGACGCGCCCGCGGCAAGGGGGGACACAGAGGGCCAGCGGCGGGCGGGAGCGCGCGGGCCCGGAGGCCGGCGAGGGCCGGGCGGGGGGGGGCCGCCCGGGGGGGAGGGGAGACCGCGGGGGGCGGGGGGAGAGGAGCGAAGGCAGGCAACGGGGCAGCCAGGCGGCGCCCAGGAGACGGGGCAAGCCGGGCGCGGGGGCCGGCGCGCGGCCAGGGCGCGCCCGCGACGGAGGGGACAGGGGCGGAGAAGACCACGCGAGCAAGAACAAGAAAAAAGGAGCAAGGCCGGGGAAAAGGGGGGGAGCGGGGAAGCAACCGGCGAGCGAGCGAGAGGCGAGAACAGACGGCGAGGGACGGCGGCGCCGAGCGAGGCGAGGAGGGCCGGCGGGGAGACAGCAGAGGAAGACCAGCAGCGCGAGCCGGGGACGAGCGCAGGCAGGCGGGGAACCGGGGGGAGAACCAGGAGCAGGGAGGGAAAGCACCACCGCGAGCAGACAGACGACAGGACACGAAGCGAGAGGGCAGGGGCAACACACACCGAAAGCGCCGACGGGCCGCGGGCAGCCAAGACAACCAAAACCAAACGGGCACGAGAGGCAACAACCGAAGCGACGGGGAGGCCCGAGGGGGCGGCAGCCGCCGAGAAGAGGGAGCAGGACGGAACAAGCGAGGCAGCGCGGCCGGGGAAAGAAAAGGACCGCCGGGGAAAAAAAAAAAAGGAACGCGCGGAACGCGCGAGGCCGGCAGAACAAAGGCGAGGCGGGGCAGGCGGCAGACGAGCGGGCGAAGGCGAGAGACGGCGAGCGAAGGGGCGGCGAGGAGAAAGGCGGAAAGGCGAAGGCCGAGGGAGCGCGGGGCCAAAGGGAACCGGGGACGGGGGGAAACGCGACGAAGGACCGGAGGAAGAAGGAAAAAACGGCCGCGAAAGCCCACGGGAGAAGGGGGGCAGAGGCGAGCAGGAAGCGAACCAGAGCGAAACAGGCAGCGGGCGACGGACAAAGCCGGAAACGGCGACCGGGAGGGCCAGGCCCCGGGGCCCAGGGGGAGGGGAGGCCCGAGGAGGAGCCGACGCAGAGCAGAACGAAACGAGGGGAGGCGCGGGGCCGAAGCAACCGGCGCAGGGCCGGCGGAGAGCCCAAGGCGCCAAGGGGGCCCGCGGGGCCACCCACGACCGGGGCGGGGAGAGAAGCCCGCGCCGGGGGCGGAGGACGGGGAGCGCGGCAGGCCACCGGGGGGGGGGGAGCCGGCCAGGGGCGAGGGGCGGCGGGGAGAGGGAGAGCGGCCCAGAGGCGCGAGAGGGACCGGGGGGGGGGGCGGCGGGCCCCGGGACAGAGGCCGGGCAGGCAGGGGCCGGGGAGGCCAGGGGCCAGGGGAGGGGCGGGGCAAGGCCAGAAAGGGGAACACAGGGAGGCCGCGCGGGCCCGGCCGGCGCGGCAGGGCCGGGCCCGCGGGGGGGGCAGGACGCCAGACGGGCGGGCAGCGAAGCGGACACGGGGGCACGAAGGAGGACGGGGCACCAGGGCCGCGGGCCGCCGCCCGGGCGGCGCCCGCGGAGGGGCGGGACCCCACAAAGGGGGAGGGAGGCGACGGAACAGCGCAGCCAGGGGCGGGGAAGGGCGCCCGCAGCCGAGCCCCAAGGCGGGGGCACCCCGGAGGAGCGGGGGGGGGAAGGGGGACCGCGGACGAGCGGGGCGGGGGAGCAACAGCCGCGGCGGCACAGGACGGACGGA